TTAAACCATAGCAAATGGTCCTTGGAAGGCACCAATAAAATAAATTATAAACACCCAGACAATAATATCAAAGTACTATCAACTTAACAATATGGAAAGTCCTATCAGTATCAAATACATCCGTTAAATGTCCTAAAAGACAATACTGCAGGTGGGCATGGGGGCTCACGCCTATAATGCCAGAACTTTTGGGAAGCTGAGGTGGGTGGATCACCTGATGTTAGGAGTTCGAGACCAGCCTGGCCAACATGGTGAAACCCTGCTTCTATTAAAAATACAAAAATTAGCAGCGCATGTTTATGGGCGCCTGTAATCCCAGCTACCATATCATCCTTGATGGACAAAGATGCAAAAATCACCAACAAAATACTAGCAAATTGAATTCAATAGTGCATTAAAAGGATCATTTACCAGGATCAAGTGGGATTTACCCTTGGGATGCAAGGACAGTTCAACATATGCAAATAAGTAAATGTGATATACCACGTTAATAGAATGAAAGACAAATCCATATGATCATCTTGATAGATATGGAAAAAGCATGTGATAAAATTCAAAACTATTTCATGATAAAAACTGGCAACACATTAGGTACAGAAAGAATATACATCAATAAAACAAAGGCCATAAGTAATAAGCCCACAGCTGCCATGCTCCGTAGTAAAAAGGTAAAAGCTTTTCCTCTATAATCAGAAACAAGATAAGAACGCCCACTCTTGCCACTACTATTCAACATAGGTAGAAGTCCTGGCCAGAGTGATCAGGCAAGAGGAAGAAATAAACGCATCCGTATCAGAAGGAAGAAGAGAAATCATCGGTTTGCTGATGTCATGGTCTCACATATGGAAAATGCTGAAAACTCCACCAAAAAAACCACTTGGACTGATAAACAAATTCAGCAAAGTTGCAGGATACAAAATCAACAGTGCTTCTTTATGCTAACAATGAAGTACCTGAAAAAAAATTAAGAACTCAAATTCATTTACAGTAGCATGGGGAAAAAAAACTCCTCAGAAGTAAATTTACGGAGGTAATCTATATACTATATAATTTATATACTATATAATCTATATACTAGAAAATACACACACTGGTGAAAGAAATAGTAGATGATACAAACAAATGGAAAGGTACCCATAATCACGGAATGGAAGAACATTGTTAAACTATTCATACTACCCAAAGTGATATACAGATTCAATGCAATGCCTACCAAAATTCCAATGTCATTCTTCAAAGAACAAAACAAACAATGCTAAAACTCATATGGAACCACAGAAAAAAAACAGTCAAAGCAAAAAGAACAAACCTAGAGGCATCACACCATCTGATTTTAAAATCTACTACAGAACTATTGTAACCAAAACAGCATAGCATAAAAACTCACCAACTAACCAATCACACAGGATAGAGAGCCCAGAACTAAACCCACCCATTTATGGCCAAATGATTTACAACAAAGGTACCAAGAACTTACAATGGAAAGAGGACAATCTTCAATAAATGGTGTTGGCAAACAGGTTAACCACATGTAAAAGAATGAAATTAGACCCTTATCTCACATCATACACAAAAATCAACTAAAAATGGATTAAAGACTTAAACATAAAACCTGAAACTGTAAAGCTAAAACAGAGAAAAGGCTCCACAACATTGGTCTGGGCAAAGATTTCTTAAAATATTACCCCAAAAGCACTGACAACAAAAGCAAAAAACAAATGAGATTGTATCTAACTAAAAAGATTATACAAAGCAAAGGAAACAATAGATCAAGAGATGACCCACAGGTTGAGAGAAAATATTTGCAAACCATACATCTGATAAGGGGCTAATATCTAAAATATATAAAGAACTCAAACAACTCAATAGCAAAAAAACAAAGAACCCAATTTAAAAATGGGCAGGGGACCTAAATAGACATTGCTCAAAAGAAGATGTATACATGGCCAACAGATACATATTAAAATGCTCATCATCACTACTCATCAGGGAAATGCAGATTAAAGTCACAATGAGATATCATCTCACACCTGTTGGAAAGGCTATTATCAAAAAGATGAAAGATGACAAGTGTTGGTGAGAGTATAGCAAAAAGGGAAACCCTGTATGCTGTTGGTGGGAATGTAAATGAACACAGCTATTATGGAGAACAGTATGAATGTCTCTCAAAAAACTAAAAATAGAACTACCGTATAATCTAGCAATCCCACTTCTGGGCCAAAGGATTGAAATCAGTATGCTAAAAAAATATCTGGACTCCTGTGTTCACTGCAGTGCTATTCACAATAGCTAAGATTTGAAAACAATCTAGGTGTCTAGATGAATGGATAAAGAAAATGTAGTCCATATACACAATGGAATACTATCCAGTCTTAATAAAGAAGGAAATTCTATCATTTATGACATGAATGAACCTGGAGGACATTATGTTAACTCAGATAAGCCAGGCACACAAAGACAAATACAGCATGATCTAACTTACATGTGGTATCTAAAACAGTAGAACTCATAGAATTGGGGTAGAATATTGGTTAACAGAGGCTGGAAAAGAAAGGTAGATGGGGAAAGGGAAGATGCTGATTAAAGGATACAAAATTTCATTTTGACAGAAGGAATATGCTTTAGTAATCTAATATGCAGAATGATGACTATAATAAATAATAGTGCATTGTATTTTATAATTCTTAAAATTTATACACATGCAAAAAAGCAGAAAAATACAACCCATAAGGAGAAGAAACATGACACAGATAGATTTAATAAAAGAGCCATTAAAAACAGCTATTATACATATACTCTATATGTTCAAAATACAGACAAAAGTATGACATGTTAAGGAAAGACATGGACAATATAAAAAGACTGATATCCAACTTCTAAAAATGAAAAATACAACATCAGAGATGACTAACACACTCGAGGGTATTAGCCGCAGAATATACTGAATTTTTTTTAAAAAGTTATTAAAGTTGAAGATTTAGCAACAGAAACCACCCAAAATGAAATGAAAGGTAAAAAAAATGGCTGAAAAAATGAGACAGAACACATCATCAAGCAGCTTAATTAATATACATGTAATTGGAGTCACAGGAGGAAAAGAAAAGGGGAGTCAGAAAAAAAAATTTCTTAAGAAATAAAAGCCAAACATTTACCAAATGTGATGAAAAATACAAACTCACATATATGCAGAAAAGAGTTAACATAGTTGGCCTGAAGTGGCTTTCCTTAGAAAACCCTGCTTGCAAAACTGGTTCTTGCCTAGCTTCTGAAAACAGATTTCAGGAGAATCTTCATCAATCCATAAATGATAAGAAGGGTGGCACAATGTGCCTAAACTGTATAAACAATATGGTTTTACTGAATATCTATTTTCTTTCTGAAGTCTGGAATTTGGGTAGATTCTAGGGAGACAGTGCCTATGTTACCAGTTCCCAATAAAAACCCTGGGCACTGAGTCTCTAATGAGCTCCCTGGTACATAACACTTTACACATATTGTCAAAACATTTTGCTGGGAAGATTTAAGCACATCCGGTGTGACTCCACTGGGCAAGGACTCATGGAAGACTGCTGATTTAAATTTGTATCCTTTTGGCCAGGCATGGTGGCTGACACATGCAATTCCAGCACTTTGGGAGACCAAGGTGGATGGATCCCTTGAACACAAGGGTTCGAGGCCAGCCTGGGCAAGATGGCAAAATCCCATTTCTACAAAAAATTAGCTGAGCGTGGTGGCACATGCTTGTAGTACCAGCTACTCTGGAGGCTGAGGTGAGAGGATCACTTGAGCTAAGGAGATCAAGGCTGCAGTGAGCTATGATTACACCACTGCGCTTGAGCCTGGGGAACACAGCAAGACCCTGTCTCTAAATAAATAAATAAAAATAGATCTGTATCCTTTCAGTTTAATTAATGATAGCCATAAGTATGACTATATGCCAAGTCCTGTGTATCATCCTAGTCAACTGCTGAACCTGAAGGTGGTCTTGGGGAACCCCCAAAACACCACAGATTGAAAAAGCTTGACAAACACCAATGGAAAAATCATACCAAGGCATATCACAATCAAACTGCTTAAAAACAGTAGTAAAGAAAAAATCTTAAAAGATCAAGAAATGAGAATAGCTTCAAGCTTACTCACAGCAACTCAAGCTATGATAAAGAAGCAATGCCTTCAAAACTTTGAAGTAAAATTATTTCCAACCTAAAAGTTCAATACAAAATTTCAGTCACATATCAAAATATGACAAAAGCATCTTCAGACATGCCAAATCATTCCTCAGGAAGTTACTGGAAGATGTGTTCAATCAAAATAGGGTGAAAACCAAGAAAGAAGAAAGTATGAAGTCCCGGACAACAGAGCTCCATCCAGGAGAGAAGTTAATAAATTCCCAGAATGACAGCAAAGTGTGAGTGACAATGTACACAAAAGCAGAGAGGATGCTGAGTTCAAACTGGAGCCCCAAGGACTTTGTAGGAAAGAGTTCTCCAAAAAAATGAAACTCACAGAATGCCTGCTGTCTGAAAATCTTAACAAAGAGAGCTAGGCAATGGTGAAAAAGTATTTTTTCCATCAATAAATAAAACCAGATGAACAAAAACCAAAATAATTATTAAGTCTAGGGAAAGCAAATGGCTGCAAAGGATAATAATGATAATTAGCATTTCTCTTGGTTATCAATGTTATTTATTCACAATTGTATAAATGCTGTATATAATCTAATCAAGCTATATATCTGTACTGGGAGAATGGTAGGATTAAAAAAGGTTCAGTGTGCAGTGAGGGAGGGAAGTGAATGAGAAGAAAGCTCAATATTTATCCATGTTGGGAAGTACAGCACAAGCATGTTCTTTAGAGATAAGCAGGTAAAGAACAAAAGAATCCCAAGTCAAAAGTGGTTGTTCTTGAGGAAGGATGGAAAAAAAAAACAACAACTCAAGACGACTATGATTAGCAAACGTTATAAACAGAATAAAAGTTTTGAAAGAATTCATTCTTACCTTGGGAAACTCAGATAGCTTCTCATCACTTGTCAAAGACCGACTACTCGCACAAGAAGCACAGTCTGAGATTTCCACAGCACCCTCGCCATCTTCAAATTCATTACAGTCACTAGCATCTGCCCTGTCACTGTCGATCTCCCAGTCAATAAACTGTAATTCATCTAAAAAATACAATTTTTAAACTTAATTATATATCTCCACAGCCTTTCACTTTTAAATCTTTTATTCTTAGTAGTTAACATATCCATGTCACTCAATAATTTTAAAAAACATATTTAGGACCGGGCACAGTGGCTCATGCCTGTAATCCTAGTGCTTTGGGAGGAGACTGAGGTGGGTGGAATGCCAAAGCTCAGGAGTTCAAGACCAACTTGGCCAACAAGGTAAAATGCTGTCTCTATTAAAAATACAAAATACAAAAAATTAGCTGGGCATGGTGGCACACACCTATAGTCCTAGCCACTCAGGTGGCTGAGGCACCAGAATCACTTGAACCTGGGAGGTGGAGGTTGCAGTGACCTGAGATCATGCCACTGAACTCCAGCCTGGGCAACAGAGTGAGACTCTATCTCAAGAAAAACAAATTTAAACAGTGAAAAGTACATTTCTACTCTTATCTCAAATCACTGATTCTTCCAAATCGTACTCCAACCCCAATTTTAACTACTTTTAGTAGGTGTTTCTGTATCCTTGTATAGTTTCCCCAGCATGTTTAAGCAAATAAACTATGTATTTTATTTTTTCCTCCTTTCTTACACAGCTAAACTCTTTCACTAAACATAATTAAGAAAACTTACTATACGAATAAGCAGGATGTATCCTCATTCTTTTCTACAAATAGTATTCCATATTACATAGTTGAACCATAGTTTATTTAACCAGTCTTCTATTAGAAAATATGTTTTCAAACATATTTTCACCTAATGATTTTTTTCGATGGATTTCTACTATAAGTAAGGAAACAATGAAAGTAAAATGCAAATTTAAGTGTAATAGTAGTAGTCCTTCCGCCTTTAGTTTACTTCATAAACATTATCTAAATGCTGCTTTTACAAAATTTTAAGTCAAACTCAAATTATTTTTATAAACTAAGTAACCAAATGTACTGATTCTAATCTGCTATGCTTAAACAAAGTAGTAATTAAAGATAAATTAGTCTCTGAGGTAGGATAACATAAACCTTCCTTATAATACAAAGCACAAGTATTCCCTAGGAATTACTTCAGTAACTCAGAAAGCTAATTAGATATCTTGGTCCTATTTGGAGGTGTGATAGCAACCATCTCACTTCTAATGAAGTGAGCTTATATATATTTTTCGAGACAGCGTCTCCCTCTGTCACCCAGGCTGGAGTGCAATGGCACAATCTTGGCTCACTGCAACCTTACCTCCCAGGTCCAACCTTTTCTCCTGACTCAGCCTCCTGAGTAGCTAGCTGGGATTACAGGCATGCACCAATATGCCTGGCTAATTTTTGTATTTTTAGTAGAGACAGTTTCACCATGTTAGTCAGGCTGGTTTTGAACTCCTGACCTTGTGATCCACCTGCCTCAGCCTCCCTAAGTGCTGATATTATAGGCTGCCAGCTGGTAACATATTTTTTTTAATGCTAGCTTTAATACCTGAAGGGAATTTAAAATTTAAAAAGAAAAAAATAAGCTAAAAAGTATGGAATGAAATAAACAAACAAAAATAAGTATTAATACTTTTCAGTGGCTCATGTCTGTAACCCCAGCACTTTGGGAGGCCGAGGCAGGCAGATCACGAGGTCAAGATATCAAGACCACCCTGGCCAACATGGTGATACCCTGTCTCTACTAAAAATACAAAAATTAGCTGGGCGTGGTGGTGCACGCTTATAGTCCCAGCTACATGGGAGGCTGAGGCAGGAGAACTGCTTAAACCCAGGAGAAGGAAGTTGCAGTGAGCCATGATCATGCCACTGCACTCTAGCCTGGAGACAGAGCAAGACTCTGTCTCAAAAAAAAAAAAGTATTGTTGTTCCAGAAGATGCAGTAAAAGTCCACTATAAGTTGGGAATGGTGGCATGTGCCTGTAGTCTGAGTCACTCAGGAGGCTGAGGCAGGAGAATCACTTGAGCCCAGGAGTTTGAGGCTGCAGTGAGCTATGATCCACTGCACCCCTCCCCCAGCCTGCATTACAGAGCAAGACCTCTTCTCGTAAAAAAACAGCCACTATAATGATCATAACAGACTGAAGGTCAGACCACTATTGAGAGAAGCAGATGCATAATGGCAACTACTTGCCACACTAACATCATATTTAGTCATGGAAGCCAGGGAGGAGAACATATGAGAGATTCTCCAGATTGCTGAACCTTCCCAACAGGAAGCCAGGGAGAGACAAGGGAAAAACACAAGTGCCCTCAGAGCTGCTGCCAGCATCACAAATCTGTGAAGCACTCATTCATTCATTAGACAAAGCAAGTGCCTAAAAAGAGACCATCACACCATTCAAGATAGTCACAATACAAAATAAACAAATACAAGAGAGAAAACAGCACTATTCCTAGCCTGGTGTAGTCCACAGATTAATATATATTGCAATATGATACATGCTATGAAATATCTGGGACTTTCATCACAAAACTTTTATAGTCACAAAACTTTTATAAAGCAGGAATACTACTATTACACTTAAATTTGCATTTTACAGATAAGGAAATTGGGTCTCCGTCCAATAAGTTAAAAGATTTTCCCAAAGTTATATAAACTTTTTTTTGTTTGTTTGAGACGGAGTTTCGCTCTTGTTGCCCAGGCTGGAGTGCAATGGTGCGATCTTGGCTCACCGCAACCTCCGCCTCCTGAGTAACTGGGATTACAGGCATGCGCCACTGTGCCCAGCTAATTTTTTGTATTTTTAGTAGAGACGGGGTTTCACCATGTTGACCAGGAGGGTCTCGATGATCTCTTGACCTCGTGATCCACCCGCCTCGGCCTCCCAAAGTGCTGGGATTACAGGCGTGAGCCACTGCGCCCGGCCCTTATAAACTTTTAGATAATTGGTAAAAACCATATGGAAGGGAGGCCAGGCACAGCAGCTTACATCTGTAATTCCAGCACTTTGGGAGGCCGAAGTAGGCAGATTACTTGAGGTTAGGAGTTTGAGACCAGCCTGGCCAACATGGTGAAACTCTGTCTCTACTAAAAATACAAAAATGAGCCAGGTGTGGTGGTGCACACCTGTAACACCAGCTACTCAGGAGGCTGAGGCAGGAGAATCACTTGAATCCAAGAGGCAGAAGCTGCAGTGAGCAGAGAATGCGCCATTGCACTTCAGCCTGAGTGACTGGGTGACACAGTGAGACTCCGTCTCCAAAAAAAAAAAGGAAGGGAAAGTATTTTTAAGAGAAAAATATTTTAAAATTTTAAGTCAGGATTCCTCCCTCTCAAGCCCAATTCCAGGCCTTAAGGTCCAGAGACCAATCCAGCAGGACTGCAAAAAGGTCTAGGAATATCGTTTTACTTTTTTTAAATTTCCATTTTAATTTCTGTTAATCTTTTACATAATTCTAAATATCTTACACATTTTGTATTTTAGATCTAACATTTTATATTTGTTATATTAATGTAAATAATATTTTTTAAAACTGTCCTATAATTTGTTACTCATATAAAATTAAAATGGATGTTTATATATTGAGCTTGTATTCAGCATTAGGAATATTGTTTTTAAAGCTCACAAGGTAATTCTGATACCTGGACGCCAGCTTTGGTGACCACCACAATAGTGCTGAGGCATACGGCATCCAGGTTAGACAAACCTGGTTCTGGTTACCAGCTGGCACACTTATTAACTATGTGACTCTGGGCAAGTGACTTGTAAGTCCCATATTTCTTCTCTAAAATGAGGATACTACTTAGCACACAAGATACAGCAGACATCAAAGGAAATAAGCACATCTGACACCCAGTCAAATGTCTGAGTCAAACAAAAACTTAACCAGTAAATGTAAAAAGGAAGGAAGAAGTGGGGACAGGAAGGACACGAGCAGAGGATGGGGAGTTGGGGAAGAGAAAGATAAACCAGAAGCTGTAAACAGAATTACACAAACCCCAAGGGATCACCTACTTGTCACTTAGTGCTCAACTTTTTAAGATAAGTCAACAATTTTAAAGTACTATAAACTCATTCTTAAGTAATTAGCACAAAGCATCTTTCCACTGTTAAGAGTTTTAGAAAGTACTGAATGTCCCTATTCATAGAAGATAAACTTTTTAAAAAAAAACCAGCTTTATTGAGATATAATTTGCAAACCATAGTATTACCCACAAAAAGCACAAAGTTGTACTACTGAAATTGTATTCTGAAATGTATGAAGACAAACCAAGGGTTACGTAACAATAAATTTCATTTAATGTGTCTGAATTAATAATACAGGTGCTATCAGCTTATACATAATCTTAAAACACCACTTCACCTGATAACTACTAAAATGTCAAGGGTATTGAATTACTAAAATGAGATACAAAGTGGTCAAAAGAATTTAACTACCCCCCCCCAGAAGCTGTCTGTACAAACCTATCATGAACTGTCAGAGTTAAAAGTCGCAAGCTTATTTTGAAAACATTAAGATCTTTAAATACTCTAGATGATTTGTATATTGTAAAATTTCTAAAAAGACATGATTTCCATAATTCTACATCTGTGGTTATCAACTAGGGGTGATTTTTGTACTTCAGGAGACCCTTGACAACATCTGGAGACATCTTTGTTTATCATCCCTATGGCTGGGATGCTGCCATGACCCAGAAGGTAGGGGCCAGGGACACAGAATATCCTACAAGGCATAGGAAGGTGCTTCTCCCCATAGCAAAGAATCAACTGACCCAAAATGTCAAGAGTGTCAAGGATGAGAAACTTTGCTTTAAATTATCTACACATGACACAATATAAAACACCATCTAAATAGAAATTTGTCAGTCTGTTACACCTCTATCACACATTGGTTGTCACAGTATTTACTCAACAATAACAGGCTGGCAAGAAGGCAGTATGGGTGCAGCACTGTGTAGAAGTTGAAGGAACTGGCTATGGAGCAAAAGAGACCTAAAATGGAATCCCAATCCATTCTTGTAAGTCCAAGCTTAAGCTGTTAACTATAAAAATAATACCTATCTCTTACAGTTACTGTGAGAAATATCAAGTCAGAAAATGTTTCTGAAGTGTTTAGCACAGAGGGTGGGACTCAGTAAAATCCTATTAGAAAGGAATTTAATTTTCATTCTCTGGGACAAATGTCTAAGGGTACACTTACTGGGTTACATGGTAACTGCATAGTTAGTCTTTAAGAAACCGCCAGACTGTTTTCCAGAGTGGCTGTACCATTTTACTGTGTACCTGCAATGTATTGGTGATCCTATCTCTCCATAACTTCATCAGCATTTGGTATTGTCACTATATTTTATTGTAGCCATTCTGATAGGTGGAATGTTAATGATAAATACTAGAAAGGAATGTAAGTTTCTCCCAATATTAAATCCAATATTTAACAGAAACTGGATTTCTAACAAAATTATCAATTTACCTTCACTGGCCCCATCTTCTGGACACAAAATGCTCCTCTTACAAAATCTGTTTATTCTAGAGCCATGTCCATTATCTCTCTGTAGTTTAGAAGGTGTCTTATCTTCATCTGACAAATCACTTCCACTGGAACTCCATGTAATGTCTGTAAGCTCATTGGTGCTCTTAGATGTGCTGGTTTCTGTTGAAGAAAAAGAAAGCACATAAACATGATCCCCTTATATGGCTATTTATCAGAATACAATTTTATGCATGTAATTTTGCCAAAGTCACAAATACACAAAACTCTGTGATAGGAAAAGGAATGTCTACATCAAATCTTCCTGCCTAAAGTGCTATGTACAATCTCACTAACATTCTCTGAGTTGAAGCTAAGTTCCAAGAAGAAAAAGAAGTAGAACTGGTTAAGTTATATAAAAAAAGGAAAATGACTGGAGCACAAAAGAAAACTGGAAAAGTAAGACTTGAAATAACATTTATAAAAGTATAACTTCCTTGGATATTTGATGAAACAAAAAAATCTTTTTAAATGCAAAACACAAAGTCAAACTTATGAATAAAAGGAATGCTTCTGTGTGCTTCCTTTGCCATGTTAAGAGCTCTGGGAGCAGGGTGCATAGAACACTTGACAGCTAACCTTGTATTTAATTAAACTTTTTATTTTAAGATAATAGTAGATTCACATACAACTATATGTAAGAAATAACAGAGAAAATACTTGTGTCCCTCACCCAGTCCCTCCAATGGTAACATCTTGCAAAACTGTAGTAGAACACAACCAGGATACTGACATTGATCTGGTCAAGCTACAGATCAATTCTATCACCACAGGATGCCCTGCATTACCTTTTTATTGCCATATCACCTCCTGGCCCCATATCAATCCCTAAACTCTGTCAACCACTACTCAGTTTTGCATTTCTGTAATTTTTTTCATTTTAAGAATGTTAGATGATCGAGACCTGCCTGGCCAACATGGTGAAACCCTGTCTCAACTAAAAATACAAAAAATTAGCTGGGCACGGTTGCAGCATCTGTAATCCCAGCTACTCGGGAGGCTGGAGCAAGAGAATCGCTTGTACCCAGGAGGTAGAGGTTACAGTAAGCCAAGATCAAGCCACTGAACTCCAGCCTGGGCAACAAGAGTGAAACTCAGTCTCAAAGAACAAAAAAATGTTACATAAATGAAATCACTATGTAACCTTTTAGGATTGGCTTTTTTTCACTCAGCATAATTTCCTAGATAGTCATCTCAGTTGTGTATATCAACACTTATCTTCTTTTTATTACTGAATAGTATACATGGTACTATGCACCATAGTTTGTTTCATCATTCCCTTACTGAAGGACATCTGTGTTGTTTCTAGTCTGGGGCTATTATGAACAAAGCTGCTTATGAACATCTGTATACAGGATTTTATGTGAATTTAATTTCCATTCTCTGGGACAAATGCCTAAGGGTACAGTTGTTGAGTTATATGGTAATTGCATGTTTAGTCTTTAAGAAACGGCCAGACTGTTTTCCAGAGTGGCTGTACCATTTTCTGTATACCTGCAATGTACTGGTGATCCAGTTTCTCCACAACCTTACCAGTATTTGGTGTTGTTACTATTTTTTATTGTAGCCATTCTGATAGGTGGAAAACCTAGACAGAATGGAGCTATTTCATCTTGGCAGAATCAAAAGTCAACAGCAAATATTTCTGATACTGATCAGAAAAAGAATATATACCTAATAAAAATCAATTATTCTGTTCACATTCATAATTGTAGACATAATGTTAAAATGTATGTACACACATATATATATCTTATCCTATGTGGTATGGTATTTGACATATTTCAAAGCACATTTCAAAACACTATGAAATTAAGAGATTAGATATTTATAAAATTCATGTTTTACAGAAAATAAACTTAGGCTTCATTAGATATATATTTACAGAAGCCCTCTGATACAGTAAGCCATGAAGAAACAAAGAAAACTCCAGCCTAGGCAACACAGTGAGACCACTTATCTATAAGAAATTAAAAAATTAGCTGGGCATGGTGGTGCATCCCTGTAGTCCCAGCTAGTTGGGAGTCTGAAACAAAAGGACAAATTTAAGTGAAAAAGTTTGAAGTTGCAGTGAGCTATGATTGTGCCACTGCATTCCAGCCTGAGTAACAGAGTAAGATCCTGTCTCTAAAAAAGAAAAGGAAACTCCTTCTCACAAGGAATATGTGTGATCTGGAAGGAAATACTAATCACGAAAAAAACTTAACACTATACCCGATGTATGTCACAGAATAATGGTGGCACAAAAAAAACTGAATGTTCTACTTTGCACTGATCAGGAAAAGAGGATTCACTAACAAGATGATGTCTGAAAAAACAGTACTTACAAAGGCACAAAAACATAAAATAGTCAACATTTACTGAACACTTACTTTGTGCCACAAACATCTAGAATTACTGACGTGGCCTATCTATCGTTCATGTTATAAAAGGAAAAATAAACTATTCAGAATATCCTTAAGAATCTACATCTATCTAAATAGCTAATAAAACGAAGCTGAGTACTTGCTTGCAAGAGACATTATCAATCTCTATCATTGTTATGCATCTGAAAAATAAGTCAAAAAGAAAATTATCACTATTTTCAAATTATAAAATGAATTCATGAAAAAAGTTAAGAAATCAACTGAAAAGCTACTACCATTAATAAGAAAGTCCAATAAAGGCAGCAAGGTACAAGCTGCAATACAGAAATCAAATTTAAAGCAGTAGCAAAAAAAAAAAAACCTATAAGAAACTTAGAAGATACATAAAACCAAAGTACACATTTTTAAAAGCCTTCAAAAGAACATAAAAGAACAAACAGACATATGCTAAGATTTTGGATGAACTGATCAGAAAAAAATGATCTCTCAGTGCCCTTGAGGCTGGGTATCTTTTCATATGTTTGAAAATCATTTACGTTTCCTGAAAACAGACCCTTCATAATCATTATTTTTACAATAGTTATCTTTTTTCCCCTAGATTAACTTCTGATAGTTCTTTATTAGAAATATCAGCCTTGGTCTGTGACATGAGCCACAAATGTTTTCCCTGGTTTTTCTGAATTTTAAATTTTGTGTATACATGTGCAATTTTTTGTAAGAGATGTGGTCTTGCTATGTTGCCCAGGATGCACTGCAGCAGCTATACACAGGCATGATCACAGCACACTGCAGCCTCAAACTCCTGGGCTCCAGTGATCTTCCCACCACAGCCTCCCCAAGTAGCTGGGACTACAGACGTGTGCCACCCTACCAGACTTATGTGTGTCATTTTGGCCATGCTGTTTTTCCCTTTCTATTTAGGTGAATTTACCAGCTTTATTCATACAGTTTCTAGGTTATGAGTCATTCATTGGAAATGACTTCCCAAATGTAATGCCTCTTTTTCGCCAGCAGCTGTGGTGCCTGAGAGATTCACTTAGGCAGCTTAGCTTCTGAGTCCATATTCTTAACCATTATGCAAAGCTCCCAAGTCAGACAGACCTGCAATTGCTTTCACCATTAGTTTGGTGTGAGTATCTAAGGGAATATATATGTAACTGGTGCTTTTGTACCATCTAATTTAAAAGACAGGATAATCATTAGTTATGTCATTCAAAACCTCAGAGAACAGGACTCTAGATTTATAAACCCATGAATTATAAGCACCTGAATGAACAACTAGATAATTTAAACCACTACCAGGAATTGACTAGTAACTCATTTTACTTGCTGAAAAGAGACTATTCTTGAGATCAAGGCTCATTTCAATGGAACTGTAGGATGGATATTAGCCAGACTGAACATTTCGGTGTACCCACGGTGTGCCAGGCACTGTCCTAGCACCCAGTGTTACAAGCTGAACGGTGTCCCCCTCAAAATTCATATGTTGAAGTCCTAACCTCCTGTACCTCAGAATGTGACTTTATTTGGAAATGAGGTCTTCACAGAGGTAATCAAATTCAAGTGAGATCATTAGGGTGGGCCCTAATCCAAGATGACTGGTATCCTTATAAGGGGAAATCTGGACACAAAGACAGATGTGCACTGAGAAGACAATGTGAAGAGACCTGGCAGAGACAGAAGGAGAAGGCAGTAATTTACAAGCCAAGGAGAGAGGTCGAGAACAGATTCTTCCCCTACAGCCCTCAGAAGGAACCAACCCTGCCAACAGCTTCATTTCAGAGTTCTGGCCTATAGAACTGTGAGAGTTTCTGCTGATTAAGCCACCCACAGTTTGTGGTACTTCCAAAGGCTGTGATCCAACCTTTGGGAACTAGTTCAGCTGGGATATAAAGATGAGCAACAGATGGGGTCTGCCCTTAAGAAGCCAGTGGTCCAGTGGGAAAAAAGGCAGGTCCAGAAATAATAATAAAGTTAGTAATTTTTTATTAGCCAGCTAATTTTAACTTTTTCCTTTTCTCATAGTGCCAAATGCTGTAATATTCAAAGATCAAGTTAATTTGGTTTCTAAACCTTTATAGTATATGGGAGGAAAATATTTGTCTTTAAACAGATATGGTTTAAATCTTTTCTGGAGATTTAAAATATGTATAGTAAATTCAATTTTAGAAAGAAATACTAAATAAGTTATCTTGTCTTTAATAACAAAATGATATTTTGGATGATTTTCCCACGCCAGTACTTATTTGACCAATACTCTGATGTACCTTCTACTCTACAGAATGATCAATATATTTTGAAAGGTTAAAAGAGCTTATATGAATGTATAGTTACTTTATAATATATGCAGCTTGTTAAGCAAAAAAGTAGTCAATAACTTAATAAAGGCTTGCTATTTGTAGTAGAGATTGGTAGAAAAAGGGACTTGAGGAATTTCCTAGAACTGGTTCATTTTTAACAGTAGCTTCTAAAGTATTAGTTTAAGAAATCCTATTAACAAATATTCCAAGATAAAAATTCTACACTATATTTTGGGTGAGGCGGTTGTATTTTTAAGACAGCTGGGAAGCAGAGTGGGGAACATACATTTGTAATGTGTGCATAAGGTCAGAGTCTTGTCTCTGCCAATAGCTTCTGCAGTTCCATCAAAAGATTATAGTATTTAAAAGATGTGTACCAATTTATTCCATAATAAACTATTTTATGAATTTTAAGGAAATATTTTGGCAAATTTTGTTTTTCGTTTCCATAGAAAAGAACCCCCTTCTATGTCACTGAAATAATAATATGGTTTAGAATGTCGCAGAAAGTTAGTTCACTCTGCAGAACTCTGAAGAGGCTTTCACACAGCTCTTTCTGCCATCAGACAAAGCAACTGCTGTCCTCAATCAAGTACCTTTTAACTAAGCATTTTATCTACTTTTCTTAGCTCACTTAATATTCATAATAACCCAGTGATTATGTCAATTCTCCAGATACAAAACTGAGACAGAAAATGTTTAGCTTAGTTTTCAAAGATTATAGAGCCAGGACAGAGCAGGATCCAGTAAGTCACAAGTCCTCACGCTTCCTACACACTCACAGCAGGGCTGGCTGACTGTGGCAGCAGAACCAGCAGCCTACCTGATATCCACCCCTTCTTCATTACTAATAACCCCAGTTTTCTTTAGCAGCAACATACCAATCTACAAATCCTTAATTTCACTCAAGCATCTTTAATGGAGGTGACCCTGTGTAATAGCTTCTAGCCAAAGGTAGAGATACTGGGAAGGACATTCCTTCCCAAAGGAAAGGCAGAGCGGATTTGGCGAAAATCCTCAGCACCTACACTCTTCCAAGAATTCAGCTTAAAGAATTCAGCCACTACCTCCTGACCATGAGAACCAATTCCACACTCAGGCTACAGAATTCAGAAAGAGTCTAGCCCTCTGGATGTCCTGCTGCACGACACAAATGCAACCTCATTTGTCCAAACACTCAAGTGTTTGAACAGAATTTTCTACTTCTTATAGCTTGAAAGTTTCCTAATTCATCAAGAAAGGATTTCATAGCCTGAAGCAGTCCAGTTCTTATGCTATAGTTCACATTTCTTTCCCAAATCAGATTAAAACAATAAAAAAAGAAACCCTGGAGCTAAGAGCATGAGCTAACCTACTGGGCTCTGTGATAAAAATAAACTCAGGAAGGACACACAAAAAATGTTAATTATCTGTAAGGGGGCAGGAGAAACGCAGTAGATGGTGACAGCAATGAAAGAGTTCTCAAAAATACCTTTTTACATTGTCCTGATGGTTTTTAACTATGAATACAGTCTACCCAAACCACATAACTTTTTTAGAAAGCAAATTTTAAAAATAATCACAGAAGAATATAATCTTATATCTTCTCTGTCAAGAAATCTACAAAATAGTATTACCTTGCTTGGGTCTAGGTGATAATTCAAGGTGCTTTACTGTAGTCGTCTTCTCTTCAGCTGTTAATGACTACAGGCAAAATAATAATGATGAAATTTATGTGACAAATGCTAAGAAGAACCGATATTTTATAAAACATCAAAATCTTAAACTACACTCTCCTTAACATTTTCTTCTCTGATTTCCTTTACCCATTCACTAATTTCAGTATTCCCAGCGCATATACTCCTCATATATTTATGAATTTGTTGTTTTCCAGAATCTAAAGAGATCTCCCTGACCAAAATGTTTCACACTAACATTCAGGGTTACTATCTGCTCATACATATGACTCTGACCACCTATGAGGTACTCATTACTACTCAGACCCAAATTATCTTGAGTTTATAACATCATTCCTCTATAAGTCACCACATACACAAAAATTATCCAGAATATCTCATTGCCAAAAGATTCTGAATATACAGGCATACATCATTTTTGTGTGCTTCACTTTACTGTGCTTTGCAGATATAGCATTTTTTTACAAACTGAAAATTTCTGGCAATCCTGTGCCCAATTCTATGGGCGCCATTTTTCTGACCGCACGTGCTCACCTATAAACTTGTGCTTCTGTGTCATATTTGGATAATTCTTCCAACATTTCAAACTTCATCATTATTAAATCTGTTATGATAGTCTGAGATCAGTGATCTCTGGTATTACTACTATAACTGATTTGAGGTTCCACAGTCAAAACCAATATAAGACAGCAAAATTAATAAATGTTGTGTGTGTTCTGACTGCTCCACCAACCAACTGCTCCTCCATCTCTCACCTTCTCCTTAGGCCTCCTATTCCCTGCAACACAACGATATTAAAATTAAGCCAATTAATAACCTTACAATGGCATCTAAGTGCTCAAGTGAAGAACAGGTGAATGTCTCACACCTTAAATCAAAAGTTTAAAATGGCTGTGCACAGTGCTTCACACCTATGATCCTAGCACTTTGGGAGGCCGAGGCCTGACCAACATGGTGAAACCTGGTCTCTACTAAAAATACAAAAATTAGCTGGGCCTAGTGGCAGGTGCCTGTAATCCCAGCTACTCCAGAGGCTGAGACAGGAGAATTGTTTGAACCCAGGAGGCAGAGTTTGCAGTGAGCCAAGAGTGCACTACTGCACGCCAGCCTAGGCAACAGAGCGAGACTCCATCTCAAAAACAAAAACAAAACAACAAAACTGGAAATAACTAAGCTATAGGAAGCCATGACAAAAACCAAGATAGGCTAAAAGCTAGACCTCTTGAACCAAACCATTAAGCCAGTTGAGAATGCAAAGGAAAGTTCTTGAAGGAAATTAAAAGTCCTATTCCAGTGAACATATAAATGATAAGTAAGTAAAACAGCATTATTGCTAATACAGAGTTTTAGTGATCTGGATACATCTATCCAGATGAAGAGTTAATTCTTATGGATGAACAAGGAAAGTGGTTCCTGGAAATAAAATCTGCTCCTGGTGAAAATGCTGTGAACGCTGTTGAAGTGATAACAAAGAATTCAGAATATCCTATAAATTTCATTGATAAAGCAGTGGCAGGCTTTGGGAGGATTGAGTCTAATTTTGAAAGAAGTGCTATTACGGGTCAAATGTTATGAGCATCACATGCTACTCAGAAATCTTTCATGAAAGGAATAGTAAATATATGTGACAAACTTCACTTTTGCCTTATTTTAAGAAACTGCCACAGCCACCCTAACCTTCAACCACCAACAACCTCATCAGTCAACAGCCATCAGCATCAAGGCAAGACTCTCCCCTAGCAAAAAGATTATACTTTGGTGAAGCCTCCTATGATTATTAGCATTTTTTTTAGCAATAAAATATTTCTAAACTAAGGTAAATACATTGCTTTTTTAGACATAATGTTATTGCACACTTAATAGACTACAGTATAATATAAATATAACTTTTATATGCACTGGGAAACCAAAGAATTCATGTGATCACTTTATTGCCTTGGTCCTGAAGCAAACCTACAATATCTCCAGAATATGCCACTATAAACACTTCATGAATACATTTCTTGTGAAGAGTGGTATACTCAATGGTTTCATCTTCTGAGAACATTCTTAGTAAATATCCTTCATTTACAAACAAAGAAGCAGAAAGGTTCTGCATGAATTTAAAAAGTGAGTATAGCTAGGCACGGTGGCTCACACCCATAATCCCAGCACTCTGGGAGGTGGATGTGGGAGGATCTCTTGCATCCAGGATTTAGAGACCTGCCTAGGCAACACAAGACCCTGTCTCTACAGAAAGTTTTTGAAAAATTAGCCAGGCAGACGGGCACAGTGGCTCATGCCTGTAATCTCAACACTCTGGGAGGCCAAGGTGGGTGTATTACCTGAGGTCAGGAGTTCCAAACCAGCCTGGCCAACATGGTGAAACCTGGTCTCTACTGAAAATACAAAAATCAGCCGGGGGTGGTGGCATGTACCTGTAATCCCAGCTTACGCAAGACGCTGAGGCAGGAGAACTGCTTGAACTGGGGAGGCGGAGGTTGCAGTGAGGCAACATAGTGCCACTGCACTGTAGCCTGGGCAACGAAGTGAGACTCCATCTCAAAAAAAGAAAAAATTAGCTAGGCATGGTAGTGTATAACTGTAGTCTCAGCTATTCAAGAGGCTGAGGCAAGATAACCTGAGCCCAGGAGTTCGAGGTTGGAGTGAGCTATGATTATGCCACTGTACTCCAGTCTCTGCAACAAAGTGAGACTCTGTTAAAAAAAAAATGTGAATATTAACTTGCCACGATTATTCAAGGAATGAAAGGGAAGTAAAAGGAGTACACCAATTACAGTGACCTGAAAGAACAAGAAAGGGATTTCAATGACATGTAATTACAATGTTTTGAACACTCAGATAGGATTTCTTCTTTGGCATTCAGGGAAAACAATTCTACAGATACTTTACCAGAGTCCCAGAAGTGTCCTGAAATCCTTCTCCACACCTAAGCCATGCTTCAGAGAGGGAGGCAGCTCCCCCAGATGTCCTGAGTCCTGCTTTTCGGAACTGCAGTGGTCTTTCTCCTGGAAAGGATGGGCATTCTATATCCCAACTCCTTTTTCTCTGTGGAGATGATTATTAAAAGAAAAAACAAAACAAACAAAATCAACTTCATTAAATAGACATTAAGTTTACAGTTTACAATTTGAAAACCTAGGAGTGGCAACAGAAAAGGCATAGTTTTTGAATGCCTCTGAATCTCCACATAAAGAGCAACTAGACAGCAAAGTCAAAAACAGAGAACGAAATTAATCAGCAAACTCCAAGACATAAGTGGGTAAAGACAAACCACCAACTCTCCAAGGTCTGGCATGGATCAGTATCTGAGAGGAAAGACGCCAAGGAAAGTAAGAGAGCCAAGGAGGCCCTGAGAACCTAGGTATCAGTGCTCCCTAGGAAGAAGAGCAGACGACAGATCTGAGAAGAGTGTATGACAGAACTGACAACAGCGCCTGAATCTAGGTGAGAGCAGGGGCGCCACTGTAAGAAGATGTGAAGACATGGGAGCAGCCTGGGCCACCCGAAACTGGTCACTGTGGAATCCCTTCTGGGCCCCTCATTGAAAGTGTTGAGAGTGGAATCCACTCAGCAGCACAGGGTGGCAGAGACACAGAAAAAGTCCAGATGGAGCAAACTCGGGAAGAATCTGTAAGACAAATACACAAGTGGCCCTATTTTTATAAGCCATATGAAAACAACACAAGGTACAAAAGCAATGCATCACTGGGTGCCATGGCTCACACTTACAATCCCAACACTATTAGTGGCCAAGGCAGGAGGATTTCAAGAGCCCAGGAGTTCAAGACCAGCCCAGGCAACATAGCAAGACCCCATCTCTTAAAGAAAACTTTTTAGTGAGCTGGGCATGATGGCACACAAATGTGGTTCCAGCTACTCAGGAGGCTGAATCAGGAGGATCGCCTGAGCCCAGGAGTTTGAGGCTGCAGTGAGCTATGATCGCATCAGTGAGCTATGATCACACCACTGCACTTCAACCCGGGCAACACAGTGAGAGCCTACATTCTTTAAAAAAAAAAAAAGTATCCTAAATCCTGCCTCCTTCTAACATTTCAGAAGACTGTGACACAAAAATAAGCAACAGAAAGGTATCAAAGCTAAATCCCATAAAATCATTATTAGGGAAAAACTAAGTAGAATAACATCCTAACATACAAAAAAAAAAAAAGTACATCAAAGACACACAAAACAGATAAAATGGTAAACTACCAATTTCAAAAAAAGGTAAAACATTCAGATTAGAAACTCAGAAATGAGGTAACAAAACTTAAGTAGAATAAAATTTAAAATGTACTAAATCAGAAGAAATCCAAGAACAAATAGGTATTACAGATAATATCTTAAGTCTTCAGTGTAAAAGGAGTAAAAATTTAAACATAATGCTATCTTACAAACTAGCTGCTTTACTCCTAGCAATTTATACAAAGAAATAAAACTATATGTCTACAAATATTTTTACATATATTTTATAAGCACTTTATTTGTAACAGCCAAAATCTAAAAACAACCCCCAAGTCCATTGCAGTAGCTTTAAAATATTACAACAAATTCTTTGATACTGCTCCCTTCAAAAGCAGCCCCTAATTCTTTACTCTTTGAGTGTGGGCTGGTTATAGTGACTTATTTCTAGCAAATAATATGAAGAAAGTGACAATGTGTGACTTCCAAGACCAGGTCATAGTAGGCATTGAGGCTTCCAGCTGGGAGCAGTAGCTCAAGCCTGTAATCCCAATACTTTGAGAGACCAGAGCGGGCAGATTGCTTGAGGCCAGGAATTAGACAAGCCTCACCAACATGGTGAAACCCCATCTCCACTAAAATTACAAAAATCAGCTGGGTGTGGTGGCGTACATCTGTAATTCCAGTTACTCGAGAGACTGAGGCACAAGAATCACTTGAACCCGGAAGACGGAGGTTGCAGTGAGCTGAGATCACGCCACCGCACTCCAGCCTGGGCAACACAGAGAAACTGTCTCAAAAAAAAAAAAAAAGCATTGTAGCTTCCTCTTTGCCCACGCTGCTGTTAGATCACTTGTTTTAGTAGTAACCAGATTCTATGTAATAAGAACACTTCGCCAGGCATGGTGGCTCACATCTGTAATCTCAGCATTCTGGGGGCCTAGGCAGGCAGATCACTTGAGGTCAGGAGTTCAAGACCAGCCTATCCAACATGATGAAACCCCATCTTTACTAAAAATACAAAAATTAGCATGTGGTGGCAGGTGCCTGTACTCCCAGCTACTCAGGAGGCTGAGCCAGGAGAATCGCTTGAACCTGGGAGGCGGAGGTGGAAGTGAGCCAAGATTGCATCACCACACTCCAGCCTGGGCAGCATAGTGAGACACCATCTCAAAAAGAATCAAAACAAAACAAAGAAAGATCCTGCAAAGAGGATCCTTGGTCAGAAGACTAGAGGTTGAGGCCTCTGGCCAATAGCCACAGAAGTATCTTTGAATTGAATACTGCAGTGAAGCCTTCAAATGGCTTCAAGGCATCCAACATCTTGACAGCAATCTTATGAAAAACCCTGAGCAGTCACCCAACTAAGCCACTCCCAAATTCCTGGCACAGAAACTGTCAGGTAATAAATGCATGTTGTTTTATGCCACTAAGTTTTTAGATAAACTTTTATATTGCAACAGATAGCTAATATAGCCATCAACAGGTGGATGGATTTTAAAATTTGTGATATAGCCACACAATGCAATCATATTAAATAATAAAAAAGAATGAAGTACTGAAACATGCAATAATATAACTGGATTTCAAAGTGACACTGAAGGAAAGAAACTAGACCACAAAAATCCATTTGCATACAATTCTAGAAAATGCAAACAAACCAATAATAACAGAAAGCAGGTTCATGATAAACTAGGAATGTGAGGAAAAGGGAGAGAAATAGGAATTACAAAGCGGCAAAGAAAAACCTTGGGGCATGATTGTTATATTCCCTAAATTATTTGTACTGATGGTTTCATGGAGATGCGTGGATCTCAAAAGTTATCAAATTGTATGCTGTAACTATGCAGTTTATGTCAATTATTCTTTTAACAAAGCTGTTAAAACATCAGTATATTCCAGCCAGACACAGTGGCTAATGTCTGTAATCCCACTACTTTGAGATTCCTAGGTGGGCGGATCATGAGGTCAAGACATCAGGACCATCCTGGGCAAAATGGTGAAACCCCCATCTCTACTAAAAATACAAAAATTAGCTGGGCATGGTGGTGCATGCCTGTAATCCCAGCTACTCAGAACACTGTGGCAGGAGAATTGCTTGAACCTGGGAGGCAGAGGTTGCAGTGAACCGATATCGCACCACTGCACTCCAGCCTGGCGACAGGGACTCTGTCTAAAAAAAAAAAAAAAAAAATCAGTATATTGCAAAAAGAAAAAGAGAGAAACTGAAGATGAAAAATGAATTTTTTGTAAAATTTTTTTTTTTAAAGTTCCTGGGGTACATGTGCAGATCATGCAGGATTGTTACGTAGGTATACACATGCCATGGTGGTTAGCTGTATCCATCCCCCTGTCATCTACATTAGGTATTTCTACTAATGTCCCTCCCCAATCCCCCTACCCACTGCTATCTCTCCCCTAGCATCTACCCACCAACAGACCCCAGTGTGTGATGTTCTCCTCCCTGTGTCCATGTGTTCTCATTGTTCAACACCCACTTATGAGTGAGAACATGCAGTGTGTGGTTTTCTGTTCTTGTGTCAGTTATCTGAGAATGATGGTTTCCAGCTTCATCCATGTCCCTGCAGAGGACATGAACTCATCCTTTTTTATGGCTGCACAGTATTCCATGGTGTGTATGTGCACATTTTCTTTATCCAGTCTATCCTTGATGGGCATTTGGGTTGGTTCCAGGTTTCTGCTATTGTAAACAGTGCCACAATGAACATATGTGTGCATGTGTCTTTAAATAGAACAATTTATAATCCTTTGGGTATATACTCAGTATTGGGATTGCTGGGTCAAATGTTATTTCTATTTCTAGATCCCTGAGGAATCGCCACAATGTCTTCCACAATGGTTGAACTAATTTACATTCACACAAACAGTATAAAAGCATTCATATTTCTCCACAGCCTCTCCAGCATTCATATTTCTCCACAGCCTCTCCAGCATCCGTCTCCTGAGTTTTTAATGATCATCATTCTAACTGATGTGAGATGGTATCTCAATGTATCCTTCGTGGCTGCTGGTCCACTATAATGATAGTTTCTTTGGCTGTGCAGAATCTCTTAAGTTTAATTAGATCCCATTGGTCTATTTTGGCTTTTGTTGCCATTGCTTTTAGTGTTGTAGTAATGAAGTCCTTGCCTATACGGATGTCCTGAATGGTACTGCCTAGGTTTTCTTCTAGGATATTTATGGTGTTAGGTCTCATGTTTAAATCTTTAAATCCATCTGGAGTTATTTTTTGTATAAGTTGTAAGGAAGGGGTCCAGTTTCAGCTGTCTGCATATGGATTCCCTATTTAATAAATGGTGTTGGGAAAAGCTGGCTAGCCAGTTTTCCCAACACCATTTATTAAATAGGGAATCCTTTCCCCATTGCTTGTTTTTGTTGGACTTGTCAAAGATCAGATGGTTGTAGATGTATAGCATTACTTCTGAGGCTTCTGTTCTGTTCCTTTAGTCTGTATCTCTGTTTTGGTACCAGCACCATGCTGTTTTGATTACTGCAGCCTTGTAGTATAGTTTGAAGTCAGGTAGCATGATGCCTCCAGCTTTGTTCTTTTTGCTTATTATTGTCTTGGCTATGTGGGCTCGTTTTTGGTTCCACATGAAGTTTAAGTTGTTTTTTTCCAGTTCTGTGAAGAAGGTTAATGGAAGCTTGGTGGGATAGCATTGAATCTATAAATTAATTTGGGCAGTATGGCCATTTTCATGATATTGATTCTTCCTAATCACGAGCATGGAACGTTTTTCCATCTGTTTGTGTCCTCTCTTATTTCATTGAGCAGTGGTTTGTAGTTCTCCTTGAAGAGGTCCTTCACATTCCTTGTTAGTAGTATTCCTAGGTATTTCATTCTC